TCTTCTCTTCTCTTCTCTTCTCTTCTCTGTCAGTTAACGGTGCAGCCTCACAAAGAATCATGATCATATTGAATGGTTTGGTTGCGGTTTGTTTGTCCAGTGTGTAATGTTTTGCTATTGGGCGGGAAAAATGAGAACCGCAGTGCCACACTGACACACCCAATAATAATATTTATACAGATATCCCCTTCATGCACGAATGAAAAGTAACTAAGTATTTATTTTGCCTGAACTCCATGTCAGCTTTAAAACGGCATCCAACGATTTTGCTGATCTTGCATTAAGTGATATCTCTGTAATGATTATTAGGAAAAGTTAAACTCATTCCTACAGGAGAAGGAAGTCGGCACATGTCACGTGGTTCAAGGTGCATTTTGAATAAGCTTGAGTGTTAGACAGCACAGACCTCACTGGCTCAACTCAGTTGTATTAATGTGACTGCACAAATAACAACTCCAATCTTTAGAGGCTGTTCAACTTCTTTGATTCATTAGTTCATTCATTAACCAGCCATACTGCTTATTCTTTAAGGTCAGGTCTTAACTAAAAATGTTTTTAATAATTGTTGATCAAGTATTTCACAGATATTATTAATCATTAATCATTATTATTAATCCCTCTTAATCATTAATGATCATTCCTCAAATCCTGACAATAAAAATCAAGGTTAAGTGTCTTAGCAAGGTGCTCCAGAACAGCTTCAGTGCTTCTTGGCATAGATTCTCAAAGTCCTCAACTGAAGGAGATGAACACCATTCTTCTAAAAGATAGTCCCATGTTTGTTGTTTTGATGATGGTGGTAGAGAGAGTTGTCTAAAATCTCTCATAGGTATTCACCTGGGTTGAAATGTGGTTACTGTGAAGGTCATAGTATATGATTACCCCATTTTTATACTCATCAAATCTGTCATTTATTCAGGGGTTTCTTTTCATCTCTAACTGATCTGTGCAACAGTATTTAATACATTTTCTGGGTATTTTATTAAGAAGTCATTTAGAGATGATGTAACCTGGTGATAATCCAGATTGTGGGGAATTAAATACCTGATAAATCCTGGTATTTCATTGACCCCTCTCCAGACCTCTGAATTGCTGGAACCAGCTCATTGTCCAATATGTAAAATACCTGTACATCTACTCATGATGGAGAGCAGATAGCGTCACCTTCCTTCTAAACATACCCAGCTGGGATCTCAGATGCACCCCTCCCATCGTGTAAACCATTGTTGACAATCTCCCAGAGGCCATTGTACATGTGCGTTGAGTGGGCAGCTCGCTGTGTTGGCCCATGCAGAGGGAGACGGAGGGCTCGTCTCAGACAAAGACCTCCAATTGACATCTGAACAATGGAGCGGGCACACAGCAGCCTCCTGCCTAAGGAGAGGGGGGGGGGCACAATGGGTCTTTTTCTGTAGCACCGAGGGAGGAAGAGCCAGTATGTTAGCTTAGCTGCTTACACTGTAGAAATAATAGTGAACCTGTTTATTCTTTGCAGTTCGTTTTTTACAACAGTTGAGATGTTTGAAGTTATTTTTCTTTCGTTCTCTGCGACTGTTGGTTTCCATTAGGGCTGCAACTATCAATTATCTTCATTATTGATTAATCTGCAGATTATTTTCTCAATTACTGGATCAATTGTTTGCTCTATGAATATAAAAAATAGTAAAAATGCTAATTTCCTAAACACCAGGTGAAGGTATCAAATGTCTTGTTTTGTTCTGCTTCTAGTCCAGAACCTAAATTCAGTTTTTGATCACATACCACAAACAAAAAAGGGCAAATCCTTTCAATTAAAACACCTATACTAGGGAATGTTTGGCATGTTTGCATGAAAAGTTACTTTAATATTTAGTAATCAATTGTTTCAACTGTAGTTTCCATGAATTTTAGCAACTGGTGGGATAAGAAATGTAAAAAACACTGTCACATAATTTGTAAAATGATCAGCTGCATCGTAAAGTTTGCACATTTTGTAGGTTAAATAGATGGATGGGTAGATAGATATATACTTTACTTATCCCCTAGGGGAAATTCACATTCAAATGATCCTAAATAGGCAAAATCCTCCATCATTTCAATCCTTGGAAGGAAATTATCTTAATTTAACAATGAAACTTGCCTCTAGCTTCCTCTCTGTTCCATCATGCTCAGCTCATCCCATCCTGTCCAGGACATATGGGTGTCTTGTGTCACTCCCACCCTTTTGTGCCAGTTTGTGCATGGCCTGACAGACACTGTGAATACTCACATGCAAATCTGAACACACAAGGATGACCTAATCTGTGCTGTTACACACTCTCATACAGTAATCTGTCCCTCTATTGTTTATTTTTTTTTTCCTGCTGGTGTGTGGAGAAATGTGAAAATGACCTTTTGTCCCTGGAAGATAGACCTAATGTAATGGAAACTTTTTTTTTTAATAACGCCTTCCACTCAGTTTTTTTGTATATTTTGTAAACTCAAGTGTATTTTTGTCTGTACTGGAAACATTTTATTTTTATCATCAACATGTACCCAAATCCTTTACCAAGACCATTTAGAGAAAGTTTAGAGAAGATAAGGAGGATTAAAAAGGCCAAGGATCACATCCCTTTAAAAAAGCAAGGTTTAGAAAACACTAATAAAGAGATGGGTGTCACGGGCATCTGTCAGCACCTTCTCCATTAATGTTCCAAGGCTGTTTATGCCAACAAGTATTGTGCAAGTCAGAATTTTAATCTGAAAATGATATCTCAATATCTGACAAGTCTTCAAACAAATATGAGTGCTTGATTGACTGTTTCTGGAAATTGCTTCAAACCCACAAGCACAAATACTTTACATAGACCTATGAGGAACAGCTGTGAAGAAAGAGATCATTCTTGTGTGGAGGGAAACTGGGATCCTGGTCCTCACTGGAGAGGAAGGAAGTCAGGCAGGCGGCCTCGGGCAGAGAGACAGAGAGATGTTGTGAGTGAGAGAGAGAAGGGCACAGAAAGGGAGAACAAGTCACAAAACTATGTGGCCACCTGAACATTACACCCACATGTGATAGTTCAACATCCTGTTTCAAAACTATGGGCATTAATCTGCTGCTATGACAGCGTCCACTCTGCTGGTTTCAAGCTTTCCACCAGATTTTAAAACCCGGCTGCAGGAATTTTCTCCCATTCAGCCACAAGAGTATTAGTGAGGTGCAACTCTGATGTTTGGTGATAAGGTCTGAGTCACAGTCCAGTTCATCCCAAAGGTGTTGGAGGTCAAGACACTGTGGAGTACAAATAAAGTGTATAGCACAAACATAGAGCAGTGCAACCCAGCAGTGGTAAAAGTAGAACATTTAGAAAGGCATTAAACCTAAACCAACCAATAACTTCTGGTCCATCTGAGTGTAATAGCAAAATTAATTTCAACATAGAAGGAAGATTTAAAGCTACAGTATACAACTTCTGGAAATCAAGCTAGCGCTAGCATGAAACTCGGCTCTGCTGCTCCCACCCCTCCCTCTCCCTGCTGTGTGTCGCTCCAGCCCTTCACCTACATCCTCATCAGCCATAGCGACATCTTCCAGCAGCTAATGCTAGCCTGAAGCCGTGGTTTTAGTGGTAGACCAGAAGGATGTTCATGTATTGATTGACAGCCGTGAGCTTCTACCGCGGACTTTGGCCTTTTCTGATTGGTTAAAAGGGCGAGGCTTGGTCAAAAATTAAAAAATATTTGAAAAAATAAGTTACATATTGTGGCTTTAAATAGCACTTTCCTGTGTAATTCATTAAAGCTACATTCTTGTAAAGATTCAAACAAATATGATACTCATTTCCAAGGTGTTTGTCATTACAGAGTTTGGCCATGATCTGCTTTCTATCCAGCCCTTTTATATCTGCCAGTAACCTTGGGATTATGATGTCTTTTAACCTGAAGTTACAAATGACCTGTCAGTATTTTTAGTTTTCATACAATAGGTTCTTTTCCAGCTTAAAGAAATATCTTTAATATTAATATCTAAGGTGACACATATACATTCCTGCTGAGTTCAGTTTCTTTACCTTTTAGGTTGCAACACATCTTCCCAGCTCCCACAGACCATATTATCACAAGGTGTAATTTAGTGAAGCTCGATCTTCCACACCACACCTTTGTGCACAGAGATTTTGTTATGTTGAAACAGGAAAGGGCCTTTCCCAAAGTTGGAAGCACACTATTGTCTAAAATATCTCAAGCATAAACAAAGAGAAGAAGTCGACACACACAACACATCTGACTGATGCTGGTGGAAGGAGAGAGGTCGGAGGTGAAGCAGGACTTAACCCTGAACACACCATTGGTTTTCTAGTAGAGACTTCCTTGTTGTCAGTGATAAGTGTGTAAAAAAACAAAACTAAAAAAAACTAACCCACCTTCAGTTAAAAAATGAACAGATAGGAGACATAAAGTCATTTTCATAATATTTATAGCCTGTTTTCCATTTTAGCAATGTCAGTGTCATGTAAGCTTATTCATAATGACTAAAGTTCAGTTTGTTATGAAGTAAAGTGAATTCTTTCATTACTGACACACACTTTCTCTTGAGATTACAAATTAACATGGTTTCCTTTGTATGATGTCCCAGACTGACCCTGAGAGTAGCTCTGCGTTCAACTACATATCTAATTGTAATTTACAGGTTTCACTATGATTTTAGTGTTAAATGACAGGAATGACTACACAGAACTCTAGACTGATGCGTTAGATGTTTAAAGGAATAGATCTGAATTTTTGCAAATACACTTACTTGTTCTCAGGTAGAGATTTAGATGGGGAGTTCAATACCACTCTGTACAGACATGAGAGTGGTTTCAATCTTATCTAAATCTATTCCAGAATAAGTCTTTTCCTCAAATGTTGAGCTATTCCTTTGATGAGAATGACCTTGTATCTTATTCTGGAGTCATGATGAATTATAGAAATCATAAAAAGGAGGTATTTTCTTCCATATTTAATATTAGTTCATATTCCTAAATGTCTGTTTTGTGTGTCCTCAGGTTTGAGAAGGGGAGGATCTACACTTACATCGGAGAGGTGGTGGTGTCCGTCAATCCTTACCGTGCCATGAACATCTACGGCCGCGACACCGTGGAGCAGTACAAGGGCCGCGAGCTGTACGAGAGGCCGCCCCACCTCTTCGCCATCGCTGACGCTGCTTACAAAGCCATGAAGAGGAGAAACAAAGACACTTGCATTGTCATCTCAGGTAACATGGGAAGCCCCCCACCCCCACCTGCATGAGCTAGACAAAAAGCACAGGGATGTTTTACTTTGTTGTAATTTACATGCTGTTTATCTTTTAGGAAAAATCCCTCTGTAATATTCAGTTGTCCTCTGATGTTTTCTCGCCTGAGGGAAGTTCTTCTGAAGGAGAAAAATATTGACATAACCTGCATTCACTTGAAAATAATTAAAACAATTCACCTTCACTTCTTCTAAAAGAAGTATTTAATGTGGTCACAAGCTGTGTGTGGAAACCAGGCAGAGGATGAAGCTCCACTCGGTGGTCACAGGGGGAACTGAGCCCCTCTAAACCCTCATATCATGTCATGAATCCATACCAAGGCAGAAATACAGTTTGGCCTAAAAGACAGAAAATTTTATGTTGGACTGAAATAAGTTTTGCTAAGTAATAAGTTGCTACACAGTATAGATTTCAAAATTACCGCAAATCAGGCTTCAGCTATGGGTCTCAGCCGACAATATCCCACCTTTTTAAATGACTCTATTTTAAAATGTTCAATTATTTAAACCACTTGAGGTCTCTTGGTTGAATTTGCACAGCAAGCAAACTGCCCCAAAATTATCGATGCCAAAAATATTTAATATTGTATTTAATGACTCTTTGCACTACACTGTTTTTTTTCCAGGGGAAAGTGGAGCAGGAAAGACAGAAGCCAGCAAGTATATAATGCAATACATTGCTGCTATCACCAATCCTAATCAGAGGGCTGAAGTTGAAAGGTGAGCTGCTCTTGTTGAACACACTGGAGAGTCCGTGCACATGTAGGGTTTGGTGACTAAACAGCAAATATGATCAAATATGGAGTTTCTTTTATCCTGTGGATTTCTGACTTGTTCCTTTGAGAGGTGTTTTGCATATCCAAATGAAATACAGCAGAAACACATGATATTTTCATGTATGGTGTAAACTGTGAAAACTGCACCACAGTGTCATTTAAAATGCTCAGAATTTCTTCTTTGGCAAAACGGAGTTTCTACCCACAAGAAATATGCATTTAATGCATTTTATTTTCTAAGTGTTAAACGATTACTCTTAGATGTTAGATTGTTTTTATCAGTCAGTGCAGCGCAGACTTTTATTACAGGCCACTTTTATTATCTCATTGCAGCTATAGCAGTGTGAGGCTCTTAGATCATACTGATATATTGTCACACCTCTGCTTGACTTTAGTCAGGGTTTATTGATAACTGAGTGGGTGTGTGCTGTTCCTGTAGATAGAGGAGAAATCGCACCATGTTACAGAATGGATATCAGTATGTTGACATTGATCAGATAGACATGAAGAGGAAAAATCAGCTTTGATGTAAAGTGAACAAAGTGCAGGTCAGAGCCTGGTCTGGCCTATGTTAAAGTATTTTAGTAGTATTTTTATATATATGCAATACTATTCAACTTCTGCAGTGTTGGATTTCACTATAATATCACTTTGAAAATTATTGAAATTCATTTTTAAATTCTGTTTTCTGTCTCCTGCTTTTTGACTCTTGGCTACACAATTTATAACTCTACACTTTGCTCTATTGCATTTGTCCAAAAAACTCTTATCCAGATATTTTTTTAGATTAGATAGTATTGTGTGGATGGTGTCATTAGCCCTCAAGTCACAAAACGTAATCTATAAAAGGCTGTGCCAGTTTTGAAAATAACTGTGTCAGCTATGTTTGTTTTCTGAAAGTTTTCCAGGAAGAGGATTAGAAAAATAACTTAATTTGAGTCAAATAACTTTCTTTCCAAAAAAAGATATTTAAAAAAAAAAAAAAAGTGTTAAATGATAACCTAACACTATTATAAGCCAGAACAACAGTGCAACACCCCATTGTGGTTAATAAGGCAGACCAGAGTCAGTATTCTCAGCTCAGTCCTGAGAGCTTCCAGCATATAATTGTGTTATGTAGATTAGGTATCTGCTCCGATTTGCTCTCTTCATGTCCTGTTATTTTTTAGGTGTCAGGGGAAACTGTTTTACCTCTTGTTAATGGAAAGATTTTGCAAAACTCCGGCTGTGCCTGATCAGATCCTGAACACACAGACCAGTCCAGGCCAAAAATCACTGACAAAGCAAGGCAGGACTCTTTGTTTGGTCAGGATGTGATCGTTCTCTGTATCAGTTAATTTTTCTCAAACGATGGCTGCCACAGAAGATTTTAAGTTCTGAGGTAGAAAGAAATACTTAAAGCGAATGAAAAGACAGAGATAGGACAGACTTTTAATCTCAGGATTGTGGCACATCTGAGTCCACAGATTGGGTTCTTTATCACAAACACTTCATGGTGTGCGTAATTTTTTTGAACCTGGTTGCACTTAGTCGACCACTTTACTCTTTTAATATTATCCTGCCTTCCCCCAGGGTGAAAAACATGCTGCTTAAATCCAACTGCGTTTTGGAGGCCTTCGGGAACGCCAAGACCAACCGCAACGACAACTCCAGCCGCTTTGGCAAATACATGGACATCAATTTCGACTTCAAGGGAGATCCCATCGGCGGCCACATCAACAACTACCTGCTGGAAAAGGTAAAGGCTCAGAGATCAAAGGAAATGTAGTTGTGATTTGATTTTGATATTTTGTATCTTAAGTACATGTTATGTTATTTTTTTATGTTAATGGAGGGAAAAGGTTTAATATGTGGTGTTTTACAGCATGTTTTCTCAGCCAAGCGTCTCTTCAAAATGGGTTCCAACTGTGCTGATAATTCCATTACATGACTGTTAGCCATATGGTAGCCATCTTCCTCTTTGTCCCTCCACTGCACGATGGTGTGGGATGATAAACAAGTGAGGAAATAAAAATAAAAAAATCTGCCAGACAGATTCAGTTTCTTAGATATTTTTTTCAGACTCTTTCTCTTTTCTTGAGAAATACTGGAGATTTTTCCTGTATCAGAAAAACCCTGGTTGAATTGCTCATGTGCATATGCAAGTCAGCTGTTACATGACTCTGTCCTGTTGTGTGTTGTTTTTTTTTTTCTGCCCAATAGTCCAGGGTTATTTTCCAGCAGGAAGGAGAGAGGAGCTTTCATTCATTCTACCAGGTAAGTGTGTGTGTGTTTACACCTGTGTGTTTGCATGTGAAGAGAGCATGTATACATTAGATGTGTGCATGCAAACTTTTATTTTGTTTTTGAAGCACATGAAAGACTGAGCTTCCCAGCAGGAATATGAATCCATGCAGGATTTCTGAGTCATGAATGGACCTTTTGTTCCTGCATGTAGGAGTGTTGTGAGTTGAAAATGAGGCCACAGTTGTATCTGATATTTCATTGTGAGAGATGCATCAAATTCATACATGATGAGCGTGGTGATGACTTTATTTACAGTATATATGACAGAAATTACAGTTGGTATTTTGCATTGTATCATAGTCCGTGTAGTGATGCAGAAAGCACAACAAAGGTTCTGCACAGAGTGTTGTAACCAAGATAAGATAAGATGTACCTATTATCGAAATTCAGATTGACACAGCAGCACAAAAGAAAAGGGGAAACATGTCATAAAGAAATAAAATAAGAATAGAAATAGAATCTAGAATAAATAAGATACATTAGAAATACTATATACAATGACATATACAAATGCAAAGTAGACATTTCTGTACTTGTGCAAATATGAAAATAAATGTAGTATTTGTTGCAGTTTGTCCAGCTTCTATCATAATATATATATATAAGATTTGAGTCTTAGACTGTGGGTGCTGTGGCTTTGTGCACTCTGATGGCTAATGGCATGAAGGCGCTTTGAGGCATGTGGCTGGATGAGTCTGTGGCTGAACGTGCTCCTGAGCTGTCTCAGTTCAGCACAGAGGGGATGAGAGGGGTTGTCCTTAATGGCTTTCAGCTTTCCTCTCGTCTTCCTCTCTGTGCACTGCCTCCACACTGTGGAAACTAAGGTGTGGTGTGTGTGTGTGTGTGTGTGTGTGTGTGTGTGTGTGTGTGTGTGTGTGTGTGTGTGTGTGTGTGTGTGTGTGTGTGTGTGTGTGTGTGTTTTTTGGTTCTCCACCAGCTGCTCAGAGGAGCTCCAGATTCTTTGTTACGCTCTCTTCACATCCAGAAGGACCCGACAGCCTACAACTACATCAAAGTTGGAGGCCAGATTAAGGTACACTTTACAATTCTGCACACATACAAACATTTATCTATGTATGAAAACCCCCAAAACAAAAGTTTGAGAGAGAGGGAGTGTTACATTGAGTTTGTTTGCAGACGGTTAAACAACTTAGAGTTTACAAGCTTTTGAAACAAACCACACAAATCACATATTTGGAGAACAATTGTAAAGTGTGTTGTGACCGCAAACTCTGACTTACTCCACTTTACATAAGTGTGGTCTTTCAAAAGGTGTTTTGGTGTGTCTGCTGTGCTCTGTAGTCTTTGCTTGAGCTGTAATGAGTAGGAACAAAACAACAACAGCCTGACGTCATGGAACATGATACATCCAAACAGATGAGGTGGCGGTTTGTACACTGTGTGCCCCGGCGGCTCCTATTTTTATAGCCAGACATCACAGATCAGCACAAGTTTGTAATTGAATTAACTGGGAATTTGATATCCAGGATAGATTAACTGGAAGAGAAAGGAAAAGGCCGGTCCGGTTTTAGAAAGATAAAATGTTGAAGAAGTGATATTCTTTGCACTGATTGATCGGGTAACTTAAATATTGTTTCCATTGTCCCCACCCCCCACCCCTCCCCTAGCCAGACATCACAGATCAGCACAAGTTTGTAATTGAATTAACTGGGAATTTGATATCCAGGATAGATTAACTGGAAGAGAAAGGAAAAGGCCGGTCCGGTTTTAGAAAGATAAAATGTTGAAGAAGTGATATTCTTTGCACTGATTGATCGGGTAACTTAAATATTGTTTCCATTGTCCCCACCCCCCACCCCTCCCCACCCCCTCCCCAGTCTTGCATCAATGATGGGGCTGATTTCAAAGCCGTAGCTGATGCCATGAAAGTGATCGGTTTCACAGGGGACGAGATTCAGACCGTTTACAAGATCCTGGCCACCATCCTACATCTGGTAATACCCGATAATACCCAATCCCTGCTCATTCCTTACGCCAGCTGTGTGCGCCTATATGGGAGTTCTGTGTCCAGATTTTCGACACATGTGAGAGATGGCAGCAATGTGAACCAATATACTTGCCAAGCAGTTGAAATGCATGTGTGTTTATTTAGTCATTTATTTTGTTCTTTGGTTAATTTACCTTTTATATAGTGTGTCCAGTGCAAAAGCAGCTCACTATTAATCCTATTTTATGGCCTCTAATTTTCATAATAACCTATGTAATTTGGTGCTAATTATAGGGCAAATTGGAGAAGATCAAGTTTATAAGCAGGTGTTGATTTCCAGAGGAATTTCCTTGAACAAGCTTCTCCATTTGAGAAAAGTAAACACTCATCCATTATTAATTTATTATAAACTTTATTTTTCATTAATGTTGAATTGTTTGTTTGCCTGCAGATAAATTTCACATTTTTGCAGCTGAACTGCTGTGCACAAACTCAACTACTCTTGATGTTACGATTGTAATAATTAGAATTAATGTTAATTATTAGGAAGTGAACCAATTGAACCTTCCTATTCTGAGAAATATGCTTCTTTGCTTTCTTTCTGACAGTTAGATGAAAAGATTGATACGCTCATGTCTGTACGCTAAATATGAAGCTAGAAATAGCAGGCTATTAGCTGACCAACATCTCCAAATTTACTAATTAACATGTTATATCTTGTTTCTTTAGTGGCTACACAAACGGTAAATTACAAACAAACAAGTTGTGGTTTTATAGGAAGTTATGTGCTAGAATTAGCCACAGCCGGGAGGTTTTTCCCCTCCTGCTAGTCTCTATGCTAAGCTAAGCTAATTGCCTGCTGGCTCTAGCTTCTTATGTAATGCAGAGAGTCTGGTCAAAATATACCTTTAACCAACCCAAACCAAACCAAACGCACTCATGAATCCTCTCTCGCTCTCTCTCTCTGGCCTCTCTCTCGCTCTCTCTCTCTCTCTCTCTCTCTCCAGGGGAACCTGACATTCGGGGTGGACGGTGATGTGACCTTGATAGATAACACAAAGCTGGTGTCTGTGCTCAGGGATCTGCTATCCACCAAGGAGGAGAACGTGGAGAAGGCCCTGCTCTACCGCACTGTGGCCACTGGTCGAGATGTCATTGAGAAACAGCATACAGAACAGGAGGCCAGCTACGGACGGGACGCTCTGGCCAAGGTTATTGCAGAGAAATTACATGTTGTTTGTCGTTTGTGGGCTGCAGGAGAAAAATGAACAGCTTTGTCCTGCTGATGTGTGGAGAGTTGTGACATTTCACTTAGCGCTTGGCGATATTTTTACTGCAGTTCACACTGATTCACACAAGCATGAGTCACAATGTTATGACTTCGGGCAGAAGCTGGAGACTGTGGAAGAAGCGATGTATGTAGGCAGCTTCAAGACCAGCAGCTGTGGGCTGTGAACCAAAGTCTGACTCACTAATATTTGGACATTTAACTCACAGCTATTCATCTGTGTCTGTGTGGTGGACTACTATGTGTCTGCTACAACACGTCTTACATGAAATATTTTGTCATCCTCAGGCCATGTACGAGCGTCTGTTCTGCTGGATCGTGGGACGAATCAATGATATAATTGAGGTGAAAAACTACGATGCCAGAGTCCACGGGAAGAACACAGTTATCGGGGTGCTGGACATCTACGGTTTTGAGATTTTCCAGAACAACAGGTTTGGATGAGATGGGATATCCCACCAAGTTAAAAAGCATCCACAAATATGCATGTAAAATTTTCCTTTTTGTGTGCATACATTTCATTTTATTGGTTGTACGAGGATTACTGTCGGCTGTCATGTTAGAACTATTAATGTATGTGTTCACCTTCATAACTCAATATGACATTCAATCTCCTTTTTTTTATGCTACAGCTTTGAACAGTTCTGCATCAACTACTGTAATGAAAAGCTGCAGCAGCTGTTCATCCAGCTGGTGCTGAAGCAGGAGCAGGAAGAGTATCAGAGAGAAGGCATCCCCTGGAAACATGTACGAAGACAATTATTTGGTCTCATTTTCATTTCTATTGCCATCCATTGGGCTTAATATTTTATTTATTAATATAAAACATAACATGATTTTATACAGTTATACCAAGTTTTTACAAAAGTACTATGTAGTATTTTTGTATTACCTGTTGATTACTTTTGTCTTCCTCTGTTCCGTGTGTCTTCCTCTGTTCTATCAGATTGATTACTTCAATAACCAGATCATTGTGGACTTGGTGGAGCAGCAGCACAAGGGCATCTTCTCTGTTCTGGATGAGGCTTGTATGAATGTGGGCAAAGTCACAGATGAGGTTTTCCTCCAGGGACTCAATGGCAAGCTGGCCAAACACGCCCACTACACCAGCCGCAAGGTAGGAAACACCACATGTATATGTTACTTGGAGCTGTAGAGACTAAAGTCGAATAATCAATTGGTCGATCACTAGAAGCGATTCAACGTGCAGTATGTAACTTCTGCCGCTGTCTGTCAAAACAGAGAGGCGGCGTTAGGTGATGTCGTGAAACAGTGTAGGATCATGGGAGTTTTCTTCACCTCCATTGCTGTGAGCTTCTCCTGGTTAAGATTCCTTCAGTGTCACTGGTTCAGGAGGTTTTTACTTGGAGTTGAATTATCCAGGTGGTCTCATCTTCTCCATAACGAATGGAGTGAAAATAAAACCAGTAGAAACACAGAATAAAGCAGGTTCACTTTAAGGAATCAGTGATTTACCAGCTGTGTTCAGTGGACACAGGATTGAGCTGTCTAACATTTACTCAGCTTTTTTGTCTGATAACTTTAGATCCAGACGCCCGATGGCTAAAATCTGGTTAAAAAGACAGTTGAAAATGACCAAGGTGTAAAAATATGGCTTAAAACTGGATAAGTCAATTTTGAGCTTCTGACAGGCAACCACAATACTGACACATGCACACAGGGGACATGATGTCATTGAAAGGCAACCAATAGGCACAGAGCGTTACAATGATGAAAAAAAAAAACAGATTTCTCTGGGTTTGGGAATTGCTGGAATTATTTGGGATAATGTAACTAAACAACTCAACTAAATATATAACAGGTGTAGTATTTTGGGGAAAAGTTTAACAACATATTATAACTTTAATCGTTTAAATAGTTTCATTAGACAGAATATTCTCTGGTTGCAGCTTCTCCAATGAAAGCACTTTCCTCTGACTTACTATTATTTTTTCATGAAGTGATTCAGAGTACATGACTTCAGCTGCACAGTTTGGTCTTCACCTGAGGCAAACCCATCAAACACGGCTCTGTATCACGTATCAGCATGTTATCATGTTTCTTTTCACTTTTATTGAGTACACTAGTTGTACTTATTTAAAATGATAAAGATAGACAAATTACAACATCCATATATCAGCGCAGAACAAGTTATTGTCTGTTTTAAAGTTCATGACGGTGGATTTTATTATAGGTCCCTGGCATGATTTGCAAATGAAATTAAACAAGCTCAAACAATAAACTCATCAACAAACTTTAGTATAAAAGTGTCAGTTATCCCTGATGCTGAAGATGCAGGATGTGGCTGTGGTAACCTGAGAACACCAGAGGGCAGATTACACCAGGCAGTAAGTAACCATTAGCGCTGGAGGAAGAGACTGAACATGATCCTGTTTAATAATCAGGAAGGCTTACAATCTAATTCACTCTAATGGTCTGTGAGAGCAGACAAATCATAATCCAATTTAATTTAACAGCCACGTTTTGTGTGTGGGATCAGATGGCTTGGACAGGGGTCACTCATCGTCACTGATCTGGGGTCAGTGTATTTCAGTTTCTCTGCCGATGCTTAACATGTAAACACGGTGTTTGGGGCAGCTGATGATTGGACTTAAAACCACAGTGGTGTTTTTATTTAGATGGTTGCAGTTTTCCTCTGAGGACACAAGGGGGCATCAGCTGTCAGAGAAAGAGCGGGCTGGGAGTCTGACTCAACACTTTGCACAAGTGATGTCACTGGCAGCCAATGAGAGTGTATGGAGCTGGTGCTTTGCTGTGTTAGAATGGAAGGTGGTGGTGGAGGGAGGGGATGTAGTTACACATTTATGAGGAGAAATGGAGAAGTGGGAAGAAGTCGGGGAGATGGTGATGCAGTGAAAATGACTGATGACAAGTGGTCATCTGTATGTTTCTGGCCAGTGTAGATAAAGAAACAGGCTACAAAGTAAGGCACTGTGTCAGAGAGCCTATTCAAAGAATTCCTGGCAGCTACGTGTTCCCATGCGATGCAAAGAAAGAATATTGAGCACTGAACCCTGTAGCCGCTGTTTCCCAGTGAATGAAGTGCACAATGATGAAGAAAGTGAATAAAGCAAGGTTGAATCAGGGATGTGCTCTGCTGCAGGGCATATTGATCGGTGAAGCTTCCCTTCCTCCTATCATCTTGGAGTCGATATGCCCCCTGCTGCTGCCCTTCTGCTGCTCCCTGACCCGCTCCTCTGACAGCAAGAGTTTAAAAGACGTGTGAAATCAAGGGTTGGAAAGTACAGTGATCCAGCTGTTACTTCCTGGAACCAGTACTGTACTGTCAATATTAGCCAGAGATCTTTTTTTTCTGTACTGTCTGGAGTCCTGTTGCCAGGCAACATTAACATAATGGACTTTTTGTCAGGAAGTAGTGTGAATTGTTGGGGGATTTTAGTAGATCTCCAGGGCATATTATTTGGGAGGGATAGACAGTGTGTATTACCATTTATATTAACAGTCTTTAAAATTAATTTGGCCAGAGTGTATAAGAGATGAGCCTTCCATGTGTTGATTTATTGTTGTTGCTTTTAAATTGAATCTGTGTTTGAGAAACATTACTGGGGCAAAGGGATCAATATTTGCGTAGATGATCACTTATAAATTCAGATTTAACAAAAATGAGAAAGCCACTTTGAAATCGAATGTGCTGCTTGTTGCAACAACGTATTCCTGAAATTGAAAAGACAAAAACACAGTTGCATGTCCTAACACAATGTATCTGAATAATTGCTGTTAAAGTTGCTTTTGTAAAAACTCATATTTTTTTCATACATTGATGACAGAGTGTCCAGTCGTGCCTCGGTTTCTAAGTTGTGCTTATTGTAAACTGTTCTTAGAGGAATTTGTTATTCTGAGAAGAGACTAACTATGACCTTGTCCTTGTGCAGTTTAGTAGAATAGGCTGGGGGTGATGTTTCTCACATGTAGAGTCTCGTCTCCTGGGCTCAGAATAAATATATTAATTGAAGTCGATGGAAAATGACCAGAGAGCGTTTTTTTTTATTTTTGATCATACTCTTGGTTTTAATCCTGAGAAACAAAGTTATAGTTAAAAAGCAGAGTGTAGTGGACCACATATTTGTACAAATGAATCTATTTCCTTTCCTGACTTTATTGCAGTAGAAACACTAACTAGCATCAGACTGGATGCATACAGTTAACACAATAGAGCCACATCGGTTGAATGAAACCTTGGACTCTTTTTGTAGTGTATTTCTTTCTGTTCCTCTAGATGTCCTTTTCTGTGGTTTATGGTGATTGATTATTGTCAGTTTGATTGATTACAACCCACATTGACATTAATTGAGAAGGTACAGCAGCAGGACTGTCATGTCTAATTAGACATTTTGTTCTCAGCACCACTCAGTGGTCAGAGTCATAGTTGCAGCTACTAAACTAAGATATTCTTACAGTAGAGACTGACTGTACTTGTTGTTGGTCTCCTGATTGATTGATGGGAGTTGGATGTTCAGTCAAGACTATTTATTGTAAAACAAGCCTGATTAAACCTCAGGCAAAATGTGTTGGTTGCACTCGCACAATATGAACTCATGAATAATATTAATGCAAATCTCCGTGTGCTGCTATTTGTCTTTGTTTCAGCTCTTAGTTTTATTAATGTGTTATTTAGATCCATCTTCTTCTTGTCAGGTGTTGACTTTGTGTTTCAGACATAACAGCTTTTATTTACAGTCATTCTTCTTGTTACTTTCCACTGGATTTTGATTTAATTTTTATTTCAAAAGCAGAGTACAACCTTGAGTGAATTACTTTCAGCTAAAGAAAAAAGAGAGAGAGAAACTCTCTCCGTATATTAGTGTGACCCAAAATAGACATCCTAACCCACACTCGTGATGCAAATTAGCTCTCCAGAAAGTTCTGAAAATTTCAAGGCTTTGAGGCTACGAAGTGTACACGAGCTCTGCAGACTTTAAAGACCCACTGTGGCTCTGTAGCCTCGTTGCTCACATCTCTGCAAGTCTGTCTGCCAGAATAAAAGTGTGGAGGTTGAGAAATGGGTGAAGTGTGAGAGAGAGAGAGAGAGAGAGGGAGAAGGGGAGAGGGGAGGAAAAGAGGTATGCAGGGAGAGTGAGAATTAAATGTGAAAGGAAGTGAGATCAAGGAGAGAAAAGGTTGAGGGACTAGAAATACAGTATACATTGTTTGATGAGGCACATGTATTAGTGCTGTATTTCAAGGCTTCATTAATCCATATTTTTCACATCATATATATCAAGTTTCCAAGGTGATAAATTGTGTTTACAGCTTGTTCCATTTCCCCACCAAGTGGAAGAGGCTTTGACATTTAGAAAGAAATAAAAAAAGTGAAACCTTCTCTTAACGAAATGGATTAAAGCAAAATTATGCAGCTTCAAATAAAAACATGTCAACACGCAAGTCCAGCTCTGTCGTTAAACAGCTGTCAAGATGCTGTTTCCATGGTAAAGAACGAACCCTGAGTCCTGACAACACCTGTCTCTCACTGCCATCAAACAAACAACATACATCTGGACTGAATGTTCTCAGGTTCTGCTCCAGTGTTCAGCAGTGTGCTGTGAAAGAGACGGAGCAATGAGAGATGAAGAAAAAGAAGAAGAGGAAGAGACTGAGTCAGAGATCTATTCCAGGAATGTTCTGTAACACAATCTGTCCTGTGTGTCTGCGGTTATGTTCTCGCCCTCCTTCCAGTACTGGGTGATGCTAGACTCTGTCTTCACTCTGTTGCCTACCTGTCTACAGTACACACACACACACACACACACACACACACACACACACACACACACACACACACACACACACACACACTCACTCACGCTCTGAAACACACATAAGCACACCCTGTCCAGGCTGTTCACCCCTCCTCATTCATTCACAAGATGCTGCATGTGCACAGTGAATTTACATCTCACACACACACGCATGCAATGACACACGGCTGTCACGGTGTACAGAGTCCATACATAACCGCACATACAGGCACATGTCCTGAAAAGACCAGATTAGAAGTCGGAGAGGGAAGAGAAAGTTTATATCAGTAACAGATGCAGTCTGGTGTGACTTCTAAACTGCGCCTTCACATCTCAATAT